GGCCCCCAAGTTTTATTATTTAGTAAAAAGTAAACCATCGGACCAAGGATATAGCTCAGCGGCATAGGTGCCTGCCTGGCAAGAACAAGGTCCCGAGTTTGATCTCCGGTACTGCAAAAAAACAACCCACTCAAGCCATAAACCATCATCTTTTTATACTATGGGAAAGAGGACAAGAACATTAGCAAGTCATTTACTTGAGCTTTAGTGTGTGTGTGTGTGTGTGTGTGTGTGCGCGCGCGCAGGGTCTCACAGTGCAGCTCGGACTTGTAGTGATCCTCCTGTTTTCAGCCTCTCTAGTGCCAGGATTACAGATGTCCTGGACTCCATCACTGGCTCAGCGTGCCTGGGGGCAGGGCTGGTGCTGCATGCGTGATCAGTACATTCCTTCCTTCCTTCCTTCCTTCCTTCCTTCCTTCCTTCCTTCCTTCCTTCCTTCCTTCCTTCCTTTGTATTTTAGTACAGCATCTGCAGGGTCTCACTACACAGATTGGATTTGTAGTGATCCTTCCTGTTTTTAAGCCTCTCTAACACTGGGATTACAGGTACACCCCACCATGCCCAGTCTCAGTTACCTTCTCAGTGCACGCCAGGGGCGGTACCAGCATGCAGGCTGGGGATGAACCCCCAGCGCCTGTGTCTGCCTAAGCAGAGCTTTAATCCACTGAGCTATCTGGCCAGACGTTGGACCAGTACATTTCTTATGGGGGGTCAGTATATGTACCTAGCAGGTCTTAATTCTTTTTTCATTCTCCACCTTTAATGGTCTCCTTCCCGCTGTTGAATCTTTCTAGTAAATTTTTCAGTTAGTTATTATGTTTTTCATTTTTGTGATTTTTGTGTGGTACTTCTTCATATTTTCTTTAAATTATCATTTTATTCATGCATTATTCTCTTGACTTCAGTGGACATCTTTATTAATTTTTTTATTTTATTTATTTTTATTTTTTTCATCTTTATTAATTTTAATTCTTTTTTTCCCCCCTGTATTTTAGGGAAGGGTCTACAGGGTGCTTAGGGTCTCACTACTAGATTGGACTCATAGTGATTCTCCTGTTTACAGTCTCCCAAGTGCTGGGATTATAGGCGCTGACCAGCACTCCCAGTCTCTAATTTTAATTCTTCATCAAATGAATTATATGACTTCATTTGCATTAATTGATTAATTAACTTATTGATTTATTTGGTACAAGGTCCCACTATTCAGCTCAGACTCATAGTGATCTTTCTGTCTCAGACTCCCCATTGCTGGGATTACTGATATTTGCTCCCATACCTGGTCTTGGATTTGGCGTGGCATGTGGTACCAGAGTTCGAACCTTGTGCTTCCCAGGCAGTCACTTAGAGCACTGAGCTATCTCTAGCACTGAGCTATCTCCAGTCATGGCTTAATTAATTTTTATTTATTTATTTATTTATTTTTATGTATTTAGGACAGGGTCTACAGGGTCTCACTACACAGATCGGACTCCCAGTGATTCTCCTGTTTTCAGCCTCCCAAGTGCTGGTATTACAGGCATGCACCACAAGGCCTAGTCTCAATCGCTATTTCAGCACGCCCCAGGAGCAGGGCCAGCAGAGCATGCTGGTTATCGAACCCTGGGCGCTGTGCTCTGTCTAAGCAGGTGCTTTAGTCTGCTGAGCTATCTGGCCGATCCATGACTTCATTTATTTAAGGTTAGTTATTCACATTTATCTCAGTCCTGTGTTTAGAATATCTTCCTGGTTTTTGTTTTCCTTTCCTTTCTGTGTTGGTGACTGCTCATTAGAAAAAGCAGGCACTTTCAGACTTCATGAACTGGGATTATATAGGAAAAGACCTTCACTAAGTTCTTTCTGAGATTCTGGGGACCTCTACTCTCTCTCTCTGTTTTTTTTTTTTTTTTTTCCTTCCAGAACCGGGGATTGAACTCAGACCCTTGCACTTGCTAGGGAAGTGCTTATTCCACTGAGCCATCTCCCCGGCCCCTGTCTCTTACTCTGTCTCTGTCTCTGTATCTCTTTCTCTGTCTCCATCTCTGTGTCTCTCTGTGTTTGTCTGTTTCTGTCTCTGTGTTCTGTATCTATCCTCAGTTTTTTCCCTCTCCCTGTCTCTGTGTCTTTCTGTCTCTGTCTCTGTCTCCTAGAGGAGCGGGCATTTGCAGTGTTCTGCTGAGCTAGGAGTTACAGCACACATTAGTCCAGCCAGCCACTTCTTTCTACTCTAGGTAGATAGACTACACCAGATCCAACAGCACTCCAGGACTAGTGAGACAGTTATTATTTATTTCACTTATGAGTATGGTCTTGAGTTGCACAGAGAAGTTTGAGTGCTGGATTCATGTAGCAGCCCTTTGCCTACCCTATGGAAAACTGTGAACTGGTGTTATTTTTTGTCTGTTCTCTATGATGAGCACAGGGAAGATCAAGCATGTCCACTATCCTGTGCCTCTGTCTTCATTCTCTCCTGTGTAGCTGGACTGTAGCAGATAGATCTATCATGGCTCCAACGCAGGCAAGCCAGAATCTAGTCCTTTGGGGAGCACTCTTGAAGATTTGGGTGCATGCAAACTGATTTCTTCCCACCCCTGTGTGAAGCTGGGATCTAAGTAGCATCTTCTTAATTGTGTGGTCAGGAACCCAGATCAGGAACCCGGGAGATAGGATGTCCTAAATCTCCATGTTGGTTTTTTAAATTTTTACTTTATTTTATTTTTTATTTTTTTTTTTTTTTGCGGAACCGGGTATTGAACTCAGATCCTTGCATTTGCCAGTCAAGTACTTATCCTACTGAGCCATCTCCCTGGCCCCTTAAATTTTTACTTTAAAGAGAAAAAAGAATAAAACAAATTTTCAAAAGAAGATAATAGGAGTGTAACAATAGCTAATAAATTGTGCATTGTTATTTTTAAATTAGTTTATATATTATATATATATGTATATATTTTTTTTTTTCTTTTTTGAAACAGGGTCTCACAGTGCAGTTTAGGCTGGACTTGAGGTCACTTTGTAGCCAAGGCTGCTGGTCTTGAACTTGCAACGATCCTTCTGCCTCAGCCTCTTAAGTGCTGGGATTACAGGTGTGCGTCATCATGCCCAGTCTCATTTGCTATCTCAGTGCACCCCAGGGGTGGGGCCCACATGGCAGGCCCAGGGACTGAACTCCTGGCTCCTGTGTCTGCCAAAGCTTTAATCTGCTGAGCTATTTGGGCAGCCCAATGAGTATGGTCTTGAGTTGTATCCATTTACCTATAAAAGTCTCCAGTTTATCCTTCCTTATGGTTCTATTGCATAGAAAGACCACATTATTTTTAATCCATTTCTTGGTTCATGGGCATTTGGTTTGTTTCCAAAATTTAGCTGTTACCTATTGTGTTTCTGTAGACATGGGTGCACATATATTGCTGTGGTATGATGTTTTTAATTCTTCTGGGAAGGTATCCAGAAAGGGAATAGCTGAGTCAAATGGGATCTCTAATTCTATTTTGTTTTTAAATATATTTGGCAATTTGGAACAGTGTCTTACTACACAGCACAGACTCGTAGTGATCCTCCTGTTTTCAGCCTATAGTGATCCTCCTGTTTTCAGCCTTGCAGTGCTGGGATTACTGGTGTGCACTACCACACCCAGACTTGGTGGCTGGCTCAGCACTCCCAGGGCTCAGGCTGGTGTGGCATGCAGTGCCCGGGGTTGAACCCAGGTCCTTGTGCATGTTTAAGCCTGCGCTTAGTCCACTGAGCTATCTTGCTAGCTCTAATTCTAGTTTTGTGAGGAATCCCCACACTGATTTCCACAGTGGTTGCCCCAGCCTACACTCCCACCAACAGTGAAGAAGGGTTCCTTTTTCCCCCACAGCCCCTCTTTGCAGTTGTTATTGGTTGATTTCTTAATACTAGCCCTTCTTTCTGGGGTGAGATGAAATCTGTGTGTTTAAATTTGCATGACCAGTGATGTTGAACATGTTTTTTTTTTTTTTGAACATGTTTTAATATATTTATTTACTGTTTGTATATCTTCATCTGAGAAGAATGTATTCATCTCAGATGCTTACTTTTGGATTGGATTTTTTTTTTTTTTTTTTTTTTTTTTTTTTGAGTTCTTTATATGTTCTCCATAGTAATCTTTTGTCTGAGAAACAGCTGGAAAACATTTTTTCCACGTTGTGGGTTGAATCTTCACTCTGTTGGTGGTTTCTCTTGCTGTGCAAAAATTTTATTTGTTTATTTATTTTTATAGAATGAGATCCTAGTTGTTGATTCTTTGTGATAGTCCCTATGTGATCTGGGTATTATTCATAAAGTCTTTGCCTCCATCAATGTCTCCAGAGCTTTTTCTATCCTGTGTTCCAGACAATTTAATGCTTTTGTTTTAATATTTAGATCCTTGATCCACTTTGATTTTAGTTTAGTGCATGTTGAAAGATATGGGTTCAGTTTTAATGTGTAAAGCCAGGTCCCCCCACCCCCCAGTACTATTAAAGAGGCTGTCTTCCAGGGAAGGTGTTTGGCACCTTTGTCAAAGATAAGGTGGCTGAGTATGTCTTGAGTTGTTTCTGAATCTTCTAATCTGCCCTTTGATCCTCGATCTTTTGTTTTTTCCAGTACCCTGAGGTTTTTGTCACAGTAGCTATACATTATAATTTCAAGTCAGTGATTTTGAGGCCCTCTGCCTTGCGCTTGTTGCCCAGGATTGTTTTTGATAGTCTAGAGCTCTTCTGGTTCCTCCATAGTGGTTTTAGTGAATCTGATTTTGTATTTTCCTGAGTTCAAGGGCCCTTTAATTAGTGTCTAATTTTCACTAATGAAATTTGACTGTGAATTTCTGGGATTATAGGGGAAAATCTAGAACCTCCTACCCTACCTTGTTGCTAATATTACTCTTCTGAGGAGATATTTGTGACTGTCATTGTTATTTATATATAATTTTGATGCAAAGGTAATATTTGGGGGTCTACTATTCAGAATATTATACTTATTAGAAGTGATTTATAACAATTTATTCATGTCTGTATTTCTTTTAGATGATATGAAATTCCCTATTTCAGTTAATGTTACACCCTGTTTAACATTTAAAGGATCATCTGGAACTCTGAATATTTCCTTCATACCAAGTAAGTACAATTCTTCTTTCTGTAGATCAACTTAAGGGTTCAAGAATATAAAAAATAAATAATTCTATTCCAAATGTAATTGTTGTCTATTGCTATGCAACAAATTACTACAATGTTAGTGGTTTAACACAATATACCTATTACCCATAGTCTTTGTAGGTTAGTAGTCTTGGCACAGTTTACTACAATCAAGATGTTGGCCAGGATTGGATTATCTGAAGGCTAGGGGACAATCTACTTCTAAACTTGTATGTTTTTCAACAGTATTCAGTTCCTGGATACTGGCTGTTTGCCATCCCACAGTTCTTACCACATGGGCCTTGTCAACATAGCTTCAGCAAAGCTGGGATGCCAGACAGTCAGGTAACAAGATGAAAGCAGCCAGGTTGTGGAAGTGACACTCTGTCACTTCTGGTCTGTTGGTTAGAAAGAAGTCACTGGGTCTGTTCACACCTTGGAGGAGGGAATTGCACAATGACACATGTATAGAATTGGAATTTTTTTTTTTGTGGAATTGGGGATTGAGTTCAAACCATTGCACTTGCCAAGGAAGCGCTTATTCTACTGAACCATCTCCCTGGCCCATAGAATCAGAAATCTTGTGATTTCGAGAAATTTCACCTACACATCTTTTGTCAACCATTAGTATTCAGCTGGTTAGTAATTGGTTTCCACTAGTCAAAGATCTGTGTGTGATCCAGCCAGAATCATTTTTTTTCCTCTTAAAGATGATCTATTTAGAGAAAAACATGATTCTAAGGGGATTTAAAAACACAATGTGGGACCGGCCTGGTAGCTCAGTAGACTAAAGCACTGCTTAGGCAGAGCACAGGGTCCAGGGTTCAATCAAGAGAATCACTATGAGTCTGATCTACGTAGTGAGACCCTGTAGACCCTGTCCTAAATGCAGAAAACACCAAACAAAAGCAACGAAAAAACCACAATGTGTTTTGCGACAGTGTTGTGTCTTGGTTTTCTTCTATATGATTCTTTAGTGTTGCCAGGTCAAGACTAAAGAGCTCATGATGGTGATTTCCAAATTATTACCTTATGTGATGCTTAATGTCAGGGAAAGCTAGCAGAATGAAAATTGAGACAAACTAAAGATAAACTTTCAAAAGAAGATACAGTGATGTACATTGAGAAGTCAGAGAGCTTGGAGGGCAGCTACAAGCAAGTGGTGGCAGCAGCCTCCACGGGGCTCAAAGGAGGTGGCAATGCTGTGAAGTATAGCTCAGTGCAAGCTGAAGATGGGAAAGCTGTCTTTTGACTTTGGATGCAATAATTCTTGGTGACCTTATTAATTTTTTATTTTATTTTATTTGTGTGTGTGTGTGTGTGTGTGCGCGCGCGCGCGCGCGCGCATGCGCGCGTGGCCAGCTCAGCCCACCAGGGGGCGGGGCTGGCTGGCATGTGGTGCTGGGGGATCGAACCACGGTCCCTGTACTTTGCTAAACTTGTTCCAAGTAGGTGCTTTAGACCACTGAGCCATCTCACCAGCCCAAAGGCACAATTATTATTATTATTTTTTTTTTGGCGGAACCGGGGATTGAACTCAGACCCTTGCGCTTGCCAGGGAAGCTCTTATTCCACTGAGACATCTCCCTGGCCCTTGGTGACCTTATTAGGAAAACATTTGAAATGAGATAGTGGTTAGATAATTAATTGTTTTCATTATAAAACAAGATTGTATTTATTTTCCCTATTTAGGCCAATTAAATAACTTGGAAGAATTGAGGAAAATATATTACGTATTAGAATGTTTATGTTACTTGACAATAGGGAGATCATAAAGAAAGTTAAAAATCACCCATATATTTAATTTGTAATCAAAAGAGTCAATCTTCAAATATTTTGTCAAAACCCTTAAGAAACTGGGCATAAGCCAGGCATGGTGGTGTATGCCTGTAATCCCAGCACTCAGGAGATTGAGGCGGGAAGGTCACCGTGAGCTGGAGGCCAGCCTCCCCTATGTAGTGAGACCCTGCCTAAAAACATCATCATCAGCAACAACAAAACCCCCTAAAAAGTTGGCATGAGTTGATTATCCTCACTTTTTTCTGTTTTGGATTTTCTAGCAGAGCTAACACTGAAAGTTGTGTTTTGTATGATAGTTTTCTCCATCAAGTTATGGTGTTTACCCTATTTTTAGGCATAGCACATACAGTTCTTACTCTGGAACATTCTATTTGGCGTCAAAGATGCCCACTTTGAACTTCAGCTTTCTCATCCACAGAGCAAGAATAATAATATCCACCTGAAGGAGGGTGGTGATGATTAGAATGAAGAAGTGTAGGGAGAGCACAGGGCATACATTCAGTGTATGGCAAATGCTCCTCTTGATAGGGGGATCTCTTGGCTGAGGGACTAATGGAGTGTCTTCTTTTCAAGGGAGGGATTTAAGAAAGTTGTACTTCAATCTGTATGTATCTTTCAAATCCATGAATTTGCCAGAACGCAAAGAAGTTATTTGCAGAGGATATGATGATGTGTATTCTTTCTGCCGTGCTCTAAAAGGAGGTAAGTGTTTGGTTCATATTACTCACAGAGGACAAAATAATTCTTTATAAGAATGTTATTAAAATTAAAATGCATTGAAAATATCAAGTTGCTTTCCTGATCATAATTCTTCCATTCCACCCTATGTTTTACATTGGCAGTAAGGATTCTTTTGTTCCTGATTTGCTAGTTCTGTCATTTGCATAGCTCAAGAAAGAGATGCCTGCAGTTGGTCAGTGATGTGTTCAAGGTGATATGGAAAAGTAGTGCTATCACAGCCCCCTGACTCGTAATACCTGACTTTTCCACTGTGCCATGATTTGTGTTCAAAAAACAAAATCTCTTGCCAGCGATTTTCTTTTAAATTGTTCATTTCTCATCTGGGTGTGGTGGTGCACCCCTGTAATCCCAGCACTAAGGAAGATTGTTGAGAGTTTAAGACCATCCTGGACTACAAAGTGAACTCAAGGCCCACCTGAACTGCATAGTGAGACCCTGTCTCAAAAAGACAAAATTAATTAATTTCTATTACATAATTGTTTTTACGAAATCTCTGTGGGATTATGTTGACATGTTATAGGAATTTTCAAGGTTTTACTTCATTGGAGAGCTAAGATGTGTCACAGTCAACCCTTGCTTGCCTGTTTCATCTCTCTATACTTTTTTCTAACAAATACTTGCTGAATTTAATATAGACAAGTCATGGTTGAGGTTCTGTCCCATTAGCTGGCCCTGCCTGGCTTGCTTCTTCTTCTTTTTTTTTTTTTTTTTTGTGGAACCAGGGATTGAACTCAGGCCTTTGTGCTTGCCAGGGAAGCACTTATTCTACTGAGCTATCTCCCCGGCCCTGACTTGCTTCTTGGCTTTGTCAATGTGGGCCAATGCCAAAGATGGAGAGTAGGGCCTTCTTGTTCAGGAAGCCACTCTGTTCTGGAAAAGATAGTCATAGGAGCAAAATTTACAATAGAAAAATAAAGAAGTAATACCAGTGACATTTTAGGCTATTAGTCTTTTTTTTCTTTTTTGACACAGCATCTGGCTGTATAGTCTGGGCTGGCCTTGGGCTCAATAACCTCCTGCCCCATCCCCTGAATACTGGTATTACAGGCATGTGCTATCATGCCTGGCAGCTATTAGTTTTCATTGGTTACTCGCAATGGTAGGATAATTCAGATAAGTCTCCATAGGGCATTTGGTTAGTCTTGGATCTGAGAACATCAGAGTCAGGGGAAGAGCATTCCTTCGAGAGGAGGCAGCATATACAAACACATCTAGCCACAAGAGTATGGTATATATATATATATATTAAGATGGAGCAGAATGTTCTTTGGGGAATTGCTGGAAATGAGCCTAGAAAAGGGGGCAGGGTGAGCGTGTAAGTCATGCACAAAACATTGGCCTGTATCTGGTATTAAGTGGGCAGAGAAAGCCTGCTAATATTTCCATTCTGTAAGGATAACTAATGTCCATATGGAAGGAGATGGGGGTTGGCTAGGACAGGAGCTTTCAGTGGAAGGAGGAGGAGCCATGAGGCTGTGTGAGAGACTGAACAAAGATGGTGTCCCGTGGAGCAGTGAGCAGGAGATCAAAGAGCAAACTGGGAATCAGCATGGGGAGGACACACTGACTGATTTGATGTGTTGGACAAAAAAATTAAATATAATCAAGAGACACTTAAGGGCTGATGACTGGACATCTGGAAATACCATTCCTTGAAATAATGTGTTAGCACATGTTCGCAGTACATAATGAGTGCATTCGTCAGGTATATGTACATAACACTCCGTAATTCTTTGCTTGTCCCCTTCTCCTCCCATCTCTCCTCAATTCCTCCATTTCTTGGTCCCCCTAAAGGGGCAGATTATTTTAAAGAGAAAGATTACCTATTCCAGTTTGGGCATGTTGAGCTCAAGGTAATTTTGGAACACTGAAATAAACATGTCCATCTGGCAGCTGAGCGTGTGGGCCCGGAGCTCAGGACATTCTGATTTAAGAAGCATTGATGTACCAAGAGACCCTTGAAGTCTGAGAGTCAAATTTGCAAATACCATACATGCCTATTTTTAAAATAACTTTCCTTTCTGTTGTTGTTATAAAAGTCATACATCTTTAGAATATGATATTTAGAAAATATACCCAGGCAAAAATAAAATAAAAATTACCCATAATTTTACCACTTTTTATACATATACCCCTGTTACATCTTTCAAAAGCATATTATGATTATTGTCTTGAAATTCTTAATATGTTTTTTGAGTGCCTGTGTGGAAGTGAAGGCTGATGAAGCAATGAGGTGCCCTCACCTTCCTGCTCCGTGGGTTCTTCATTCCTTGCCACTCATTCCCTGCATACACAGGGTCCTGCCTGGCACCACCCTCCCCATTCCTGTCCATTGACATCAGTCAGCTGCTGGCCTTGGTGGGGTCTTGGGTACAGGGAGGGTCAGGATCAGGTGTGGGTGCCCTGCAGTGTCAGGGGTGGGGCAGAACGTTGGCCACCTGAGTGATGCTGACAGCTGTTCAGTGGGTGACTAGGTGGCAGTGTTCCTCTTTCTCCCCCAGTAGACAGTGCATGGGGGTTGTGCACCGAGGTCCCAGTACCCTAGAGGGTCACCCCGGGATAAATGTGAGGAAGGAAAGATGCCTGCTTTGCCTTTGCTTCTCACCTTGGGGGAGGAGGTGAATCTCTCGAGGAGTGTAGAAACCCCATAATCCTAGTACTATGTACCAAGCCTGTGAATGTCTGTGCTTCGGCACATGGCACCCTTCCTTGCACGCACATGTGCAGCATTCTGTGTGCACACAAGTGTTCCTGTGTGCCATGTTCCTGGGCAGAAAGCACAGGATGACAGTCCTGTAGGCTGGCGGTATGACTCTTCTGCCCACCCTGCTATACCAGCAGATCCCAGTGAATTTTGAGGGCTTTAACACCTTCACATTCTCTAGTCATTTGCATAGTTCAGCATTTATTTTGGTCAATAATTTCATTTAATTTTAAAAATATGTATTTAGTACAGGGTCTACAGGATCTCCACAGATCAGACTTGTAGTAATCTTTCTGTTTTCAGCCTCCCAAGAGCTAGGATTACAGGTATGTGCCACCACGCCCATTCTCAATCACACCCTGGGGCTGGCAGGGCAGCTGGGGATCAATCCCTGGTCCCTGAGTCTGCCTGAGAAGGCGCTTTAATCTGTTGAGTTATCTGGCTGGCCCCTGGTCAATAATTTTAAAATAAATTTTGCTAGCCCAACTTCAACAATCTTTAGACTCCTTTACCTTTTCTCACTGCAAATATTCCCCATTCATTGGTGGGTTAGGATATGTTGAGGTTGAGAAGTTGGTAAAGCTGGAGAGAAGAGTGATGCATTTTGCCTCAAAAATGGCTCCACTGACTGTCTTGCTTCAAGATTGTATATGGTGAGATTTTTGGACTTATGTGTAAAAATAAGAAGTATATAATTCTTTATGCCTATTTTTAAAATATATTCTAATTTTTAAATGTT